TCCCCAGGCACGTTAGTCTCTGGGCCCCACGATCTTGCTGGATGGTCTCTGTAGCCTAAGTGTCGGCACTGCGCCTCCGAGGGGACTGAGGGGCCCAGCAGGTGACTCTGCTGCCGCTCCCCTGGGGCCAGCTCTGTGCCAGGTTCTGTCTCAGGACCCCCGCAAACCTGGGTGATTAACACCCTCAGCCTCACTTGTGAGACCAGGAACGGAGGCTCAGAGCCTGCTTGAGACTCAGAGGCTGCAGAGCTGGGGCTCCACCAACTCCCATCCCACCGGGGAGGCTCCGCCCCACATAGCTTCACCCTCCCCATGGGACAGCGTTTGCAAACCTCTGCCATGACATGCGCTTGCTGAGAAGGAAAGAGATGGGAAAGGAGGGAACGAAGAACACTTTGGGGAATTCTATTTATAAAGGAGGAGGAGGGGGGAAAATGAAAGGAAAAAAGAAAGATTGAGTAAGTTTTATTTGTAAAGAAACGGAACTGAAAGTTGCTCAGTCATGTCTGACTCTTTGCTGACCCTGTGGACTGTAGCCCACCAGGCTCCTCTGCCCACAGGATTCTCCAGGCAAGAGTACTGGAGTGGGTTGCCATGCCCTCCTCCAAGGATCCTCCTAACCCAGGGATCAAATCCGTGTCTCCCGCATTGCAGGCAGATTCATTACCATCTCAGCCACCAGGGAAGCCCAATACAAATATAGACACACACACAGTGAAACACCCTTACTTTCTGCGAGGCACTCTGGCACTGTGTCTCCCGTTCTCTCTCCTGCTGTGTGTTGAGTGCTGATCGGGCTCCCCTCCTGACAGGCGCTCTCACCGCTGCAGGTGTATCGCTGGGCCGAGCACTCCGGCACGGTGCTGCAGCGGCTGAACGAGCAGCGCCTGCGCGGCCTCTTCTGCGACGTGGTCCTGGTGGCCGACGAGCAGCGCCTGCCGGCCCACCGCAACCTGCTGGCCGTGTGCAGCGACTACTTCAACTCCATGTTCACCCTGGGCATGCGCGAGGCCTTCCAGAAGGAGGTGGAGCTGATCGGCGCCTCTTACATCGGGCTCAAGGCCGTGGTGGACTTCCTGTACGGCGGGGAGCTGGTGCTGGACGGCGGCAACATCGACTACGTGCTGGAGACGGCCCACCTGCTGCAGATCTGGACTGCAGTGGACTTCTGCTGCGAGTACCTGGAGCAGGAGGTGAGCGAGGACAACTACCTGTACCTGCAGGAGCTGGCCTCCATCTACAGCCTCAAGCGGCTGGACGCCTTCATCGACGGCTTCATCCTCAGCCGCTTCGGCACGCTGTCCTTCACGCCCGACTTCCTGCAGAACATCTCCATGCAGAAGCTGTGCGCCTACCTGGGCAGCAGTGAGGTGCAGCGGGAGTGCGAGCACGACCTGCTGCAGGCCGCCTTGCAGTGGCTGACTCAGCAGCCCGAGCGCGAGGCCCACGCCTACCAGGTGCTGGAGAACATCCACTTCCCACTCATCCCCAAGAATGACCTGCTGCACCGCGTCAAGCCCGCCGTGTGCTCGCTGCTGCCGCGCGAGGCCAACTGCGAGGGCTTCATCGAGGAGGCCGTGCGCTACCACAACAACCTGGCGGCCCAGCCCGTCATGCAGACCAAGCGCACGGCCCTCCGCACCACCCAGGAGTGCCTGCTCTTCGTGGGCGGCGAGGTCTCCGAGCGGTGTCTGGAGCTCAGCGACGACACCTGCTACTTGGATGCCCAGAGCGAGCAGTGGGTCAAGGAGACGCCCCTGCCGGCCCGCCGGAGCCACCACTGCGTTGCCGTGCTGGGGGGGTTCATCTTCATCGCCGGTGGCAGCTTCTCACGGGACAACGGAGGGGATGCGGCCTCCAATCTCCTTTATAGGTATGACCCCCGCTGTAAACAGTGGATCAAGGTGAGATTAAAGCCAGATTATTTCTTTACTCTTGAGGACTTTCCATCTCCTTAACCTTAGTCTTGACTGCCCCCCCACCCCCTTCTCTTGGGCCTGGATGGCCATCCTGCTTCTGAACTAGGTGTGATAAAGTGACAAGCCCCATCACAGCCCCCTAATGGGGGCAGTGAGGGCTGACTGGCCACCTTCTGTAGGGATGGGCCACGTCCAGAGCACCGCTGCCCCATAGAACTCTCTGTACCGGCAGAACCATTCTATGTCTGTGCCATCCAACGGTAGCCACCAGCCACCTGTGGCAATTGAGGGCTTGAAGTGTGGCCCGTGGGACTGAAGAACTGAGTTTTCAGTTTTATTTCATTTTCATTCATTTAAACTTGTGTGAATGGCCACGTGAGGCTAGTGGCTACCATCCTGGATGGCACTGGTCTGGGGACTTGACCCATAGTTCTGACAGCCTCCCCAGGTCTCGGAGTCTCTGCCAAGCTCCTCTTTGGGACGGGTTTGGAGGTGCTTCAAGGAGGCTGCAAAGGCTTATGCCTCATAGGAGCCATGGCCCCTTGGCAGGTGTGGTGGCTAATTCTGGGAAGGGCCTGGGTCTTGGTATCAGACCCAGGTTCACAGTCCAGCTTGGCTAAATTGTAGCTGAGAGTTTCAGGCCAGTTCCATGCCCACTCCAAATCTCAGCTTCTCCCTTTGGAAACGGGTGGGGGGACATTGACCTTCCAGGGTCACGGTTGTAGCTCACATTTTGGGGGGTCGGGGTTGTGCTCCTTTGCTCCCCAGAACCGCAGCGCCACCCACGCGAGTCTGTCCCAGTCTTTATACTCACATCTCAGTCTGCTGACCTAACTCGGGGCTTTCCTGAGCTCAAGGCTCAGAAGGGACTCAGATGACCTTTTGATTTTATTCTCAAAAATCTAAAACCAACCGCTTTGTAAGCCTTGCCACAAGAAGGAAGCTCCCAGCCTTGAAGGCTGGCCTCCAGACCTTCATAGCGGTGGCAGCCTAACCGCCTGTGGGACTGTCTTCATTCGAATGTCCTGCTTGTCTTTAATATCTTTAATTCGAATGTCCTAAATGTCTTTAAAAAAGAAAACAAATGCTTGGGTCTCCTGTTGGTAATTTACTGCTGAGTGCCACTTTCTGCCCGTCAACACGGATGGCAATCAGTACTAATTTTTAAAATACCTGATTGTGGGGGGCGAGGGGAAAGGTGAACTTACATTTCAGGAAACCAGTCCATCAGCCGCTGGGACCCGTGTGTCCTGCAGAATTCTAGTCCACGTGTGGCCAGACAGGTTTGGGGAAGTGAATTCTCCATGCCCCTCATGGGGATTCATGAGGTCTTGAGGGTCCCACCTTTCTTCTTCCAGTTTGGCTCCCTTCCCCAGACTCACGTGGCTGCTGCCTCACCTGGGCTGTGTCTTCCGTGGAGCATGTTGGGGACACAGTGCTGGATGTTGATGCTGACCCGAGTTTGGGAATGGGGAAGTACAGGTGTGTCGCCTCCGCAGGTGGCCTCCATGAACCAGCGCCGCGTGGATTTCTACCTGGCCTCCATCGAGGACATGCTGGTGGCCGTCGGCGGCCGAAACGAGAATGGCGCACTCTCTTCGGTGGAGACCTACAGCCCCAAGACCGACTCTTGGTCCTACGTGGCCGGCCTGCCAAGGTGATTGGGGCTTGGGGGCAGACCTACAGACGCTGAGGCTCTGGAATGGCAGTTGAGCCCTCCTGCCTCTCTGGGTATCTTGGCCTCCAATTGCAGGCAGAGTCTCCTGGCTTGTAAATACCAGCGTGAGGAGCAGAGGGCGTAGTGGTGACGTGTCAGGGCGCCTGTTCTGGGACTCCCGAGTGCTCCATTTCCAAGTCTCTTCGCCGCCTGAGTTTCAGGGAGTAGGCTCTGGGTTCAGGGAGTAGGCTCTGGGTTCAGGGAGTGAGAGATTTACTGAAAGCCTCTCAACTTTGGGCAGGAGGTGTTCAGAGGGTAGGGGTTGTCTGTGCTCCATCTGACTCGAGCAGGTGTCCCCATCCCGTGCTGTCTCTGCTTCTTCATCCGTGAAGGGGACGTGGTGACTGTTCCACCCTGTCCAGCTGTCCGTTCACTGCATTTGTCATCATCACGAGTTTAGCAGAAGGGCCTGTCATTTATCTGACCAGCTCTCTGCAATCAAACCTGCAAGTGCAGCCTCTGAAGCAGGCTTGCTGTGGAACACGTCTGAGTGTCTAGGGGTCTTCGTCCCTGGGAGTCAGAAGAGGGTATGGGGTAAACGTCTGGGTGTGGCTCCCAGCTCCTCCACTGAGCCGCCAGGGAAGCCCTACCCGGACACCTGTGAATAGGATGATGACCGTGTGCCAGCCTGGGCCTCGTGCTTCACGTGATGAGTTGAGTCCCTCGATCCCCAGAATAACTAGCAGGGTGGATTGTAATGCACCTAGTATATCACCCAAACCCAGGCAGCCGTGGATGGGGAAGCTGACCGTGGAAATCTTGACCTTGTCCTAGGCAAGCCCTTAGCTTCCTCTCTCCCTCTGTCCATTCACCCATCCTCAGGTTCACCTACGGCCATGCAGGCACTATCTACAAGGACTTCGTGTACATCTCGGGGGGCCACGACTACCAGATCGGCCCCTACCGCAAGAACCTGCTGTGCTACGACCACCGGACGGACGTGTGGGAGGAGCGGCGGCCCATGAGCACGGCGCGCGGCTGGCACAGCATGTGCAGCCTGGGGGACAGCATCTACTCCATCGGCGGCAGCGACGACAGCCTGGAGTCCATGGAGCGCTTCGACGTGCTGGGCGTGGAGGCCTACAGCCCGCAGTGCAACCAGTGGACGCGCGTGGCGCCCCTGCTGCACGCCAACAGCGAGTCGGGCGTGGCCGTGTGGGAGGGCCGCATCTACATCCTGGGGGGCTACAGCTGGGAGAACACGGCCTTCTCCAAGACCGTGCAGGTCTACGACCGCGACAAGGACAAGTGGAGCGAGGGCACCGAGCTGCCCAAGGCCATCGCCGGCGTGTCAGCCTGCGTGTGCGCCCTGAAGCCGCGGCTGGAGGACAAGAAGAGGAAGGGCAAGGGCAAGAGGCCCCAGGACCGATCAGGTAAGGCGTGGGATTTCTCACCAGGGATGTCTCCCCACTGGCCTTCCTCAGGTAACCGTTTCTCCCGGTTGGTCATCTTCCCGAATTCTAGAAGGGAACAGGTAATCAAGGGAGAAAGGAAAACAGGCACAAGGCTCTTGATAAGCATTATTCTGTAATTTGTGCTTTGGTCTTTTTACTGTCTCTTCTGGAACCCACTGTTTCTTAGATTACCGATGTACTGAGCCTCACGAATCTCCATTTATCACTCAGGAAAGAAGGGGGCAGGTGGAACGTGCCATTGTGTTCTATGACCCCCGCTCTGAGATGCCCCAGGAGGCTCCCACATGAAGGAGGGCCCGGGGACCCCTGACCAGAGGAGGCTGTCGGAGCATCTCCCCAACTCCAGCGCCAGATCCTATCCCTCCCGGCCGTCGCCAGGTAGTCCTGTGCTGGGGGCACACTCTTCAACAAGTCTCGAGCTGCTTCCCACTTCATTAAGGACGGGTGAGATCCTGGCCAGGCCTCCTCCCAGGGGTCGAGGTCTCCCAGTCTATATGAGCTGTGATGGTGGATTCCGCACCTCCTCCTGAGATGCGCGACCACCCCTGCTGGTCCCGCAGTTACCAGAACTGACAGCAGTAGTGTGTGCCCTTTAAGGAGGGTTCGAGACTCCTGCCCAAGCCACCTGTCACACCAGGACGATGGGTGTGGAGCAGATTTTAATCACCAGCCAAGGGAGGCATTAGTGATCTGTGCTGTGGCAGAGATCTTACTGCAGAGACGAGAACGCCTCGTGATTTATCGTTAACGTTGGCATTAGAATAAGCTCAGTGAACTTCTTTCTTCTTTTCCTTTTTTCTGTCTCTTTATGGCACTTCCTTCCCCTTCTCTTGAAGGTTCACTGTGGTTTTGGTTGGCCTGTTTCCATAGTGACCAGGAGAGCTGAGAGCCAGCTGGGAGTTGAAAACTTGGTAGCCAAATGACCGCCGCTTCTCACGAGATGGGTGACCTGTCTGCATGTTTAGCCTGTGGAAGTCGCTAAAGGCTTACAAACCCTTGAGAGGTTCTGCAAGGCATACAAATAAACCAAAAAACTGTCCACCTTCTTGGAGCTCCTTGATACAACATTTCAGTGTATTAAAGGCTCTGAGAAGTCCTGTGTCACCTGTTAACCCTCCGTCAACCCTGCACCTCCAAACTGCATTGAAGCGGAAATTCTTTCATCTCAAACTTAATCCAGCCTTCCACAGAATCCGTGTTATAGCACTACTGCCAACTTCGGGAGAGCTTACCCTCCTCCTGTTCCAAGGCAAGTGTCATTATTCCCTGAAAGGCACAGAACCTGTGGTCTAGTCCCAGCTCAGCCCAGGTCATGAGCAAAGAGGTGTTCATTCAACCAGAATCCAGGGGCAGATTGGGCTGAGCACATGGAAAGACCAAGCTTGCTTTGAGGAGCAGGAAGGCTTTGACCTCGGGAGGAGGACAGCTGTGGATTTCCAGCCTAAGCTAGCTGTTGTGCTTTTGACAATAAGGGTGTGCTGCTGACCTCTATTCCCATTTTCTCGTGCCTTGATGTCTCTCTCGCCACTGTGAAGGATGTTTGCGATCTATGCACCTTAGAATCTGGTATAATTGAGGTGTGAGTGGGCTTTTAAAGGTAGGGTCAATGAGAAAAATTTCTTCTTGTAGACCCACTTCAAATAGTTGGTGGTGGCTTCACTGTGCTAAGAAAGGTTTTTCCAAGCTCTTTGGGGTCCGTGGAGAGGAGCTTTGTGACCCGGGGGCAGTGCCTGCCTGGGTGTGGCAGTGGTGGGAGAGCACAGCAGCGGGACTGTGGCAGATTTCTGCTGTCTGCGCTTTTAAGGTGGTGTGCTGTGCAATGCAACTAAGGCTGGAGGAAAAGTCTGTAACCCAGGTGGGCAGAGCTTTGGGGCACACTTAGCAGGCAGCCCTTCAAACTGCAGAACCACAGTAATATGATTTCCAGCCGAAGTGACAAAGGCTTGGGGTCTCCTGGCCGCCACGTTGAGAGACAGAAACGTGTGTTTCAAACGTGTGTTCGTGTTGTCAAGCTCAGCGCTCCCAGCTATTTGCCTTGAACTTTGACAACACCTTGATATAGCTGTCTGCGCTTTTAAGGTGGTGTGCTGTGCAATGCAACTAAGGCTGGAGGAAAAGTCTGTAACCCAGGTGGGCAGAGCTTTGGGGCACACTTAACAGGCAGCCCTTCAAACTGCAGAACCACAGTAATATGATTTCCAGCCGCAGTGACAAAGGCTTGGGGTCTCCTGGCCGCCACGTTGAGACAGAAATGGTAATTTTCCCCATCGTGTTGTCAAGCTCAGCGCTCCCAGCTATTTGCCTTGAACTTTGACAACACCTTGATATCTTATTTTGATCTTTCAGAATGATGGGGTTTATTCAAGTTCTGTTTTTTTTTTTATTTTAAAGAACTAGAGTTTTAACTTCATATGAGTGGTACGTTTTGAGTTTGATCCTCACCTGAGTTGGAACCCTGTTTGCTTAAGATGTTAATGTAATGACAGAAAGCTGAAGAATCCTTGTTACTTAACAGTGGTCTGTCTGCTGTTTAAAGTATACAGAGGTTATCTTAGCACGTTGCTTGTGTGTATGGCTCAATCTGTATTTCTAACATCCTGCTGCTTTTAGAAATCTAGACTGTCAGGTGGTAGGTCTAGGTCCTTCTAGGTCTTAATCTGAGCAGAAAACTTCATGTGTGTATTTTTATTCTGAATGCCCTTCCCTTTGCCCCTTAATCGCAAGTTGGCCACATGGCGACTTAGTGGGAACTGCAGAAGTCAGCCCTAAAGGGTGTTCAGTGCTGATGGCAGCCCAGATGCCCAAGGGAAGTGGCGTCCCTCGCAGGCCTGGGTCCCCCTCTTGAGTTCAGGTGAGTTAAGGGCCTGGCCCCTAAGCCAGTAGGGACCTTTGGGCGACAGGCGGCCATGTAGGAAGTGAAAGGACTCCACTCCCACCCCTTGTAGACCTAGGAGCCCCCTCCTCCTCTTACCCTCTCCTCCATAGCATGCAGCTTGGCCAGCATCTCACTGAGCTTGTGGCTCTCAGGTCCTCTGGTTAGAATCTGAGACCCCTGTTCCTAAACCTGGAGGGGCAGTTCCAGCCATGTGGTGTGGACATCCTTGCTGTCTCCATGGATTCTGAGCATCTTCAGAGGGGAAGAGGCCATGTCCCTGACCTCCAGGACAAACCTCTGAAATGTAGGGCTGCTCTCCAGGGGTTTGGAGAGTCCGCCCCCCGGGGCCCCCAAACCCGGCAAGTTTTAAAAGTTTTGAAATGTTTTGATACTTTTTTATACCATTTGCTGATAACCATTTTGTAGTTGCCTGCCGGGGTTTTCATTTTCCATCTCCCCACCACCACCCCTCCTGAGGTCAGCACCAGGGTCTTGTCATAACCGCCTCCCATGGACATGACTCTCTGCCATGGCTGTAATCTGATCCATGTTTTTGAGTTGTATGAGGTCACACATAGCCCAGGAATGTGACTGTCTTGGGCCCCAGCTGAGCAAAAGGGCAGTGTGTGTGATGAGGATGCGCTAACACGCTGAGACGTTGAACATTTCTTCCAAAGCTCCTACCTCAGCAGAGTGTGCAGAGTCGAAAAGATCCCTGAGGGCCGATCCATCTGTCACCTTTCCAACATGGGTCATTTTTCAACCCAGGGCCTGGCTGGGTCTTGAGTCACTCTTGTCCATCCACCCTTTCTTTTATGAAGACACATTAACATGAAATCCAACAAAAGCTGTAACCTAAACCATCCTGCACTTTACAGAGTTTTGGAGATCGCTTTTTTTCTTCATTTTTACACGGGTAGAATTTGTGGCTTTGCAGGGTGTTCAGTTCAGTGGTCTCAAGAAATTGTAGTTTGGTTGCCTTAGAAGAATTAATGAATGTACAAATTTGGGGGAGTGGGGCCGGAGGAGAAAAACCTTCCTGTGTCAGTTTTCTTTGAGAAAAGGAACTCTACTTTTCCAAGTTACTCGAGCCGTCTTTACAGGTTTGCTTGTGATGGAAGGAAAAAGTCCTTTGGATCAACTGAAATCCATCATTACTACCAGCTCCCTTGCAGAATTAGATCTTTGATGATTAAGTATTGATAATTCATTGAGTATGTTCTGGCTGTTAATGTTACTGATGCCTGTTATAATGTGTGTGCTATTTTTTTGATTTGTTGCTTTTGTATTGTAACTGTATGACACCCAAAGCTTTTTTGTTTCTTATCTCTTCTTAGTTAATTTCCTGCATGTTGAATTTTTTTCCCCTTCTGTTTATAACTCCATGAAGTATTCAATTCTCGAAACACATTAAAAATGACTTGCCTGCTAGGGTATGGCTTATTTTATAATTAAAGCCCTAGTCTTGTGTGGTTATTGTAGTAATCTTCAGTCCTATTTTCTCTGCCCAAATGACAAAGAACCCCTTTGCATGTTGAGCCCAAATATAATTTGGAAATTAGCCAGACTGCCTTTCAGTGTCCTGGGAGGCAGGGGCATTCCCAGTCAGCTTTCACTGTGCTCCTAATTACTGTATTTTACCAGAAGTTTTGTTCAGTTCCTAAATGTTGGCCCGAGGTCCTGTGACCTGAAATGAAACTATTTGCTTAAATTTGTGTCAGTTGGGATAATCTGATTAGAAAAGAAAAACAAGCAATGGGTTATCTTTATCAGAAAGCATTTCCTTAAGAACAGAGTCCCTTTACTGCCCTTAGGGCCCAAGAAGAGGCAGATAGATAGCTCTGATGCCCTCCAGGGGTTTCAAGGCCACCACCAGCAAGCAGACAGGCCCAGACACTGTGGTTGGGCGTTACTCCCCTGAGCCTTTCGTAATTCAGCTTTGGGAGAATGGTGGGAAGAAACTGCCTGCCAGTTTCCACCTGTAAGCTCGATTCAGATTTGCCTCTGAGCCACTGAGCTGCCCCAGATGGGATACCAACTAACAGATGGTAAATTCTCATGGATTCTTTTACTTCCAGAAGAATCTGAGGTTAGAAAGGAGATGCCTCCCATTTTCCAGATGAAGCACCCAAAGCTCGGGCTAATTATATTACCCACATTGGACTACCTCACCTCCCCAGAAGGTCCACGTCCATTTGGGTCCTCTTGAACGGAGAGAGAACCTTAGACAAGGACTTGGAGGCAGGCGGCTGACCTGGGGAGCTGGGAAGCCGAGCGAGACCAGGAAGGAGGAAAAGCTGCTCACGGTGCTTTATCTGTGGCTGAGTAGTGAGTCACCCCAAGCCGTGGCTTAAAGCCACGGCAGTTATTTTTGCTGACGAATCTGAGGGTTGACTGGGCTCATGGAAATAGCACTCTCCTGGGTCTCACAGTCACAGCCAGATAGGAGCTCCCCGAAACTTACTACACGCTGGGGCCTGAGACAGCTGGGGCCCCTCCCCCTTCATTTCTTTCCCTCTGCTCTGCTCCCCACATCCCGCTGGTCTCTCTCTTTCCCCCAGAGTAGTAGGGTTAGTCACTCAGTGTTGGCTGACTCTTTGCACCCCCGTGGACTCTAGCCTACCAGGCTCCTCTGTCCATGGAATTTTCCAGGCAAGAATCCTGGAGTGGGTTGCCATTTGCTTCTCCAGGGGATCTTCCCAACGCAGGGATCGAACCCATATCTCCTGCATTGCAGGCAGATTCTTTACTGTCTGAGCCACCAAGAATCCGCCATATCTCTCTCCAGGTCTTTCTTTACCAAGTTTCTTACCTGGCAGCCAAAGTCTCCCAGAACAGGTGTCCCAGGTGTGACTAGCAACAGCCACGTGGCTGCCATATCCTTCTCCTTGAGGGCATCACAAGCAACCCCCTGGACTTCCCTGGTAGTCCCATGGTTAACACTCAGAACTCCCAGTGCAGGGGGCATGGGTTTGATCCCTGGTCAGGGAATTAAGATCCTACCTGTGGGCAAAAGCAAAGATGCCCTAGGTTGGAGGTTGAGGGGTGACAGAGATGGCACCTTTTTTGAGGGGTATCAATGAATTGGAAAGTCCCACAGCAGCCAGTGTATCCTCACACATCCTCTGCCCAAGGAAGGAGGGTGGGAGCTCCCAGAGGCCCTGGTGACGTCCACTCCAGGGCTGCCCTGCTCAGAGCTGGCTGTTCAGAGAGCTCCCACCCTCCTTCCTTGGGGCAGAAAGAAGCACCCTGTGTGATGCAGGGGCATCCTGTCAGCCCTGTTCCTGAAGCAGAATCAGGAGGGCAGAGGGTCCTTGTTGGACCCCAGAGGCACCTGCTACTCCTGGATCTGTATTTTAACCTAAGTCGGCCAGCTCACACCCAGCTCTTTCAACTGCTTGGAAATGGCCACAATGTACATTCCCTGCATGGGATGTTAACGCCCCCAGAAGGCACTGCTGGGGTGCAAACACCAGAGAAAGGGATATTACTCAACCACGAACAGGAATGAAGCATGACACTGGTGACAGCATGGATGAAACCTTGAAAATACTGTGCTGAGTTGAAGAAGCCAGGCACGAAGGGCACCATATTGTGTGATTCCGTTTACATGCAGTGGTCAGAACAGGCAAATTTAGAGACAGAAAGTGGGTTAGTGTTTGCTTAGGGCTAGGGGAGGGGTGTGATGAGAGATGATAGGAGTGCAGAAGTTAAAGGATATAGGTTTCTTCTGTGGTGATGAAGATACCCAAAAATTGACAGTGTTTGTGGTTGCACATGTCTGTGACTCTATGAAAAGTCATTGAATTGATATATGAATCATATCTCAATACATTTGTTTACAATATCAAAGCAATACTTTACCCCAGAGACTTTCCTGGCAATCCAGTGGCTAAGACTCTGAGCTCCTAATGCAGGGGACCCAGGTTCGATCCCTGGTCAGGGAACTACATCCCACAAGCTGCAACTAAGAGTTCACATGCTGCAACAAAAACCCGGCATGGCCAAATTAATAAATATTTTAATTAAAAAATGAAAATAGTAAGTAATTCACCCCATTCTCTAAGTTTTGTTTATTGGTCTCCCAGATAACTACAGGTTGAGATTCAGACTAGAAACCCCCCTCCTTGGGTTCTAAAATTGGGGTTCTAAGAAAGTAAGAATAGGACTTCCCTGGTGGTACAGTGGTTAAGTCTCCGAGCTCCCAACGCGAGAGACACAGGTCCCGTCTCTGATCTGGGAGGATTCCATACGCCACGGGGCAACTGAGCTCGTGCACCACAACTACGGAGCCTGCAAGCCCTAGAGCCTGAGTTCTACAGTGAGGAGCTGGAGCACCACACCTAGAGAATAGCTCCTTTGAACTAGACAAAGTCCGCACAACAACGAAGACCCAGTGCAGTGAAAAATAAATAAATATTTTTTAAGGGGTAAACATTCTTATAAAAACAATTTTTTTTTAAGGGTAGCATTAAAAAAAAAAAGTAGCCTTGATTTCAGGCCTGCCAAGGGAGCAATTCTGTGTGTGCAGACCTCGGGGTATCCTTCAGAGGGCGCTCTAGAGCAGCAGTCCTCAAACAGTGGTTCTTGGATCAGCAGTATCTGCATCCCAGGGAACTTGGGAACGCAGATTCTCGGGCCCCACCCCAGATCCGCTGACTCAGCCACTCCTGGGGTGGGGCCCAGCAATGTGTTTCCATGAACCCTCCTAGGGAGTCTAAGGCAGGCTCGACTGAGTATCACTGCTCTCTAGATGGTTCTGTCTCCTTTCTGCCCCTGCAGGCTTTCCTGACCTATGAGTCTGCCAGATCCCCAACAGCTATGCCCGGTTTGCACTGACCAAACCTGAACCACGGGGCGTCCCTCTGGTTAAAGTCCAACTCAGCCCGGGCGAGGGGGGGCGGGTAGCCAAAGACTTGGGCTCGAGAAGGCTGGCGAGGTTTACTTTGCAGGGCAAACCGCTGCAGGGCCACACACCTGCTGCATCCCAGGGAAAGTGAACCTCATCTGTGCATTTCCTTGTTGATGGGAGGCAGGAAGTGCTAGGGTGTGGCCCGACCCTTTGAATCGTCTCCAGCATCCGCTGGCCCTGGGACTTCATGCTTGGCTCAAGTGGAATCTTTTGACCAGGCGTGCCATAGCAGTGATTCATCTTCCCAGGGGTCACCTAAAGGCACTAAAAATATCACTCCTGTCTGCAGTTCTAAGTGCCTCAATGCTGTGGGCTTTCTTTTTTTGTTCCAGACTGAAATTCAAGAGACCAGGATTCCAGTCTGATCTTCCTAACTAATTAGCCTCAAACAAGGCTCTGCTTGGTGTCTCCTGCTTTTAGAACAGGGACTAGATCTCACCTCGGCCACATGGACGGAGCAAAGGGCTGTGCTTCAGAAACGTAGTTTTTTGCTTTCACTCTGAAGCATGCCACCTGGACAAGAGATTTTATCTCTTAAATCTCAGTTCTTTACGCTGTGGATGAGATGTCCCTCAGAGTGTGACCTGCCTCACCCTTGTCTCCTATGCAGCTGCCCCAGAGGAAAATGTTTAGGTCGGAAAATGTTTAGGAAACTCTGAGGTGAGATCTTCCTCTTGGAGACTCACAGCAGGCTACACAATTTGTATATTATAGCCTCTGAAAGTCCCATTAAAGACACCTACCTAACTTTGGTTAGGACCCTTCCCTGGTGGCTCAGATGGTAAAGAGTCTGCCTGCAATACAGGAGACCCAGTTTCCATCCCTGGGTCAGGAAGATCCCCTGGAGAAGAGCATGGTAACCCACTCCAGTATCCTTGCCTGGAGAATCCCATGGACAGAAGAACCTGGCAGGCTATAGCCCATGGGGTCGCAAATGGTTGGACACAACTGAGTAACTAACACAGCTCTGGTTAACCCAAGGTTTCTCAAGCTTGTTTGTGCCTCCTTGCTAATAACTATAGAGGGCTTCCCTGGTGACTCAGTGGTAAAGAATCCACCTGCCATTGTAGAAGACCTGGGCTCAATCCCTAATCTGGGAAGATCCCAGATGCCTCGGAACAACAAAGCCCAAGTACCATAACTATTGAGCCTGTGCTCTAGAGCCTGGGAGCTGCAAGTACTGAACCCCACACACCCTAGAGCCTGCGCTCTGCAACAAGAGAAGCCACCACAAATGAGAAGCCCATGCACCCCAAAGAAGAATAGCCCCTACTCACTGCAACTAGAGAAAAGCCCACGCAGCAAAAGAGACCCAGGACAGACAAAATAAATAAAAATAAAACTTTATAAAAGTAAACAAAAGTAACTGTAGAGATTTTATGTCATCATAACACCTTTTAGGAAACAGGAAGCTAAAAGATTTCTGTGTCTCATCAACTCTGACAAAGATTTGGTGATATTCCCATCACCCATTTGGAAAGATGTCACAGAGATGTCAAAGAATCCTCCATAGGATTCCTCGTGGAGGACAGTGGTATGATGTG